CTTTATTATATGCTACCAGTGTGAAAATTTGTATTCCTCTTTGTTTTTTACTTTTTTTTTAGAGACAGGGTCTCGCTTTGTTCCCTGGCTGAAGTTCGGTGGCACAATCACAGCTCACTGCATTCTCAACCTCATCCTTTCAAGTAGCTGGGGCTATAGGCACATGCCCCACACTGGGCTGTTTTTTTTTGTTTTGTTTTGTTTTTTGTTTTTATCTTTAGTAGAGACGAGGTCTTGCTATGTTGCCCAGGCTGGTTTCGAACTCCTGAACTCAAATGATCATCCCACCTTGGCCTCCCAAAGTGTTGGGATTATAGGTGTGAGCCATCATGCCTAGCTCCTCTTATACATGAGGAAATTAAGGTCACAGAAGAGAAGTTACTAGCATATAGCAGAACTGGTAATGAAACCCAGATCTCAGTCTTCAAATCCTGTATTGTTTCATTGCTTATCCCCCAGCTGCCTCTTATAAAATGCAAATGCTCCCCCAAAAGATTAAATATGCTATTAATGTGATATAATTATAGACACACACATATAGAATGTTAGTACTGGAAAGGAATTTAAAGATTTTCTGATCCAAGCCTTATTTTAGAGATAAGAAAGATGCTACAATTGCTTAATAGATACTCAGACTCTTCGCCCAAGGCAAATACATGTTAACACTTCTTTCAGGTTTGGTGGGATCTGAAGATACTCCTACAACCTACCTTCCAGTCCTGTCTCCAGCATGGATACGTTGGGCGGTATTAGTCAGGGTTCTCTTAAAGGGATAAGACATATATATATATATAAAGGGGAGTTTACTAAAGTATTAACTTGCATAGTCACAAGGTCTCACAATAGGCTGTCTGCAAACTGAGGAGCAAGGAGAGCCAGTCCGAGGCCCAAATCTAAGAATTTGGAGTTTGATGTTTGAGAGAAGGGAACGTTCAGCACTAGAGAAAGATGTAGGCTGGAAGGCTAGGCCCGTATCGCTCATTTCATGTTTTTCTGCCTGCTTTATTTGCTGGCAGCTGATTAGATTGTGCCCACCAGATTAAGGGTGGATCTGCCTTCCCCAGCCCACTGACTCAAATGTTAATCTCTTTTGGCAACACCCTCACAGACACAGGCAGGATTAATACTTTGAATCCTTCAATCCAATCAAGTTGACACTTAGTATTAGCCATCACATGGGCCATTCCTTCCAGTGCTGGTCTGTTCTGTCCTTGAAGTTTGTATTGACCTGTGGCCTTCAAGAGTCCCACCCTTAGCCCTTACTCTTAAAAGAGTCATTTCTTTGGCCTTTGGGGGATGTCTTACAATGCCCTTAAGAATGCCTTTTGTCACTTTTAGGCTATAACTTGGTCATTTCAGTCTTATTTAGTTTAGAATATAATAGATGTTAAGAACTAGATGGGATATTAGAATTCATCAAATTTGACAATTTTAATTTAAAGAAACTAAGATCCAGAAAGGTTATGCCAGTAAACCAAACAGATGTCAGAGTCTCAAAGCTAGGTTTCAAGATCGGTGATTTTTTCCTTGAAGATAATTGCTAATTCAGTATCTCCCAGAGTATGTTTGGTAGAATGTTAGTCCCTTAATGTGCTCACGAAAAAAGAAAATATTTTCATGGCCAAATATGTTTGGGAAGTGATGCAAATTATATTTCCTTCTTCAAGGTTCAAAATGAACATTAATACATCAAAGGTTCTGAGTAGTGTTATGGGGAAAAAATGTTATATTTAGTTTTAGTCATCATTTCCCAAATTTACTTGGTCATCAAACACTCTTCTCCAGAAAGATCTATAAATATCCAGAGGAACTAATGTTCTAAGGAAGATATTTTTGGAAATGCTGACCAGATGCTAAAGCTTCAGAGTTACCTACTAGCCTCGGTAGCAGATACCATTGCTCATTTCTCTCTGTATCACATCAGCTCTCACTCAGACCCAAAACTACTTTCTGTATCTTCTTTTTCAAAGACCCTGTTCACCTTGCGACATCCTCTGAATTCCTCTTTCCAATCTGAGAAATAGCTTCAGCTTTTAGCTCATTTGGAGGAAAGATTATTCCCTGAATATTTCCTCAGGATATTTTTGACACATATGGAGTGAAGTCTCAGAATATCATCATTATGGTTTTTTAGTACCAGAAATACTTCATATGCAATTACATATATCAAATAAAGAATACATTCTTTATCAGTGCAGAAAGGTCTTAAAGGAAAGAAGGAATATGGATTTCCAGGGAAAACAAGGAGGAATTATAAAGTATAATAGAAAGAAATAAGAAATTACTAAGTGGGAAAAGTATTATTTGTTTCCTGATTGACTTGTTAATAGCTGAGTTTCTGGCATACATACATGCATTCATTCAACAAACTTTCCTTGAACACAGTTACGAACCAGGCACTGTGCTAGGTGCTATGAACATAAAGAGAAATAAGATTTTACCAGTTTAGCTAAGCAAACAAGTAACTTTGATACAATGAAATTAAAGTTCAGGAATAAAATGCTATAGGAGTTACAACAATGCATTATGGGAAAACATAATTAATTCTCCCTAGAGGTACCAAAGAAATCTTCACTATAAATATGACTTTTGAGCCAGGTTGAGAAGAAAAGTAGTTCATCAAGTGGAGAAGGTGGAAAGGGGTGTTTAGGCAGAGGAAGCATCATGAAATCTTAAAAGATTTTCAGTCTTACTCTTCCTATGACAGCGGAACTGACAGCTTGGTATTGTCTTGAGTGTCTCTTTTTTCCCCCTGGGGTCAGTAAGCTGAGTGAATGAATAGTAAGAGACATTTTTTTTTTTTTGAGACAGAGTCTAACTCTGTTTCCCAGGCTGGCGTGCAGTGGCGCAATCTCAGCTCACTGCAGCCTCTGCCTCCTGGGTTCAAGCAATTCTCCTGTCTCAGAATCTCTTAGCTGGGATTACAGGTGTATACCACCATGCCTGCTAATTTTTATATATTTAGTAGAGATAGGGTTTCACCATGTTGGCCAGGCTGGACTCGAACTCCTGAGTTCAGGTGATCTGCCCACCTTCACCTCCCAAAGTACTGGAATTACAGGCATGAGCCACAGCACCCAGTCAAGAGCCCTTAATCCTGTCCTTTGAGGAGGGCAAAGAATTTTGATGGCTTAGGAGATAAGAGTGTTAACATGATTGCTACTTCTCACATTCTCTCTGAACTACTGAAAATTGTTTATAGTTTTAATGTGAGACTGTACCTCATTGCATAATCTTTCTCTGCCTACATGTATTGTTACCTTTCACGTGAAATCTTCATGTCAGTGAGTAAATTCTACTTATTCTGTTATGTATGAATTGCTCCTTGCCACCTTTGGGCTTTTGCCTCACCTAGAACAGTATATGACTGCTTTTAAAATAATTCATGTCTAATATTACTCTTCTATCCCTAGACAGGTAAGACCACTTCTCCCATTATCTCTCTCAACTCCAAACACCTCTGTTCATCTCTGCGCTCTAACCATCTTGAAGTACTAAGCTTTGCATGACCACACCCGACGTCTCAAAGCCTTTGCCTTTTCCCACCAGAGTATCATTGCCCCACTTTTGCAGTTTCTTTGACTTTCAAGGTCTGACCAAATGTCATCTCCTTTCTGAATACTCTATATACTCTCCAGTGTGAATTAGTATATCTGTTCTGTTAATGTGCTGTATCTATCTCTAATATGGAGTATTTGTCTTGCCGATATATAAGTATCTCTTCACCTCCCTCAAACCTACCACCCTATTCCCTAGACTTAACTTCTCTAGGGCAGGATATTTTAAACATCGAGCCAAGTACTCTGTACTATGCACATGTCTCAGTGCTTAGTGAATGAAACGAATGTAAGTATGCATGAACGAATTTTTAAAATATTACTCATTAAAAAAATTTGTTTCAATCTTAATTCACTTCAGAAACCCTTCCGTCTGCAGTCCTGACATTCTGACTATTCCTTAACTGTGAATTCTAACATGATTTGATCCATTAACTCTGTATTGATATCTCTTGATCTACTTTCATTTTGGGGTGTTATTTGAGGCAACATGATACAGTAGAAATAATATTGGTCTAGGAGGCAAGAGGCCTGGATTCTCATTCTGACTCCACTGTTCACTTTTGCCATATAACTCTGGGAAAGTTAATTAATGCCTTCGATTTTTTTTTCAAATGATATTTAAATATTTGCCTTACCACAGATGTAAAATTTTTAAAGGTTTTACTGGCCGGATGTGGTGGCTCACACCTGTAATCCCAGCACTTTGGGAGGCCAAGACGGGTATATTGCTTTAGCTCAGGAGTTTGAGATGGACAACATAGTGAAACCCCATCTCTACCAAAAAATACAAAAATTAGTTGTGTGGTGGTGGTATGCCTGTAGTCTCAGCTACTTGGGAGGCTGAGGTGGGAGAATCTCTTCAACCTGGGAAACGGAGGTTGCAGTGAGCTGAGATTGCACCAGTGCACTCCAGCCTGGGTGATAGAGCAAGACCCTGTCTCAAAAGAAAAAGAAAAAGAAAATCTTTTACTAATAATAACCCCCAACTAAAACTCCTGAATTAGGCGAACCATTCTGTTTGTTGTTGTTGTTATCTCCCTAATATTCAGTACTTTGTACCCCTCATGTTATATAGACTGATAGCAACTTCTGGCCTTTTCCATTCTGAACTGTAAAACTAGACTTCTGGATCTAAGGAGTGACAGATCTAGTGCCTGACTTGGAGGCTTCCAACTGTATATTTACCCATTGTTGCTTTTCTGATCCCTAGACTTGTTTCCATCAGTATCACCAATGGACCAGTATTCTGTGGTGTGGTTGGAGCAGTAGCAAGACATGAATATACAGGTAGAATAGGACATTGGGCTACTAGCTTTGTGACTTAAGGGAAGAAAGTAGAAGACATAGTCCAAAAATTTTACAACTGTCTTTCTGACTCAGTTATTGGCCCAAAAGTGAGTCTTGCAGCCAGAATGATAACTGCTTATCCAGGTTTGGTGTCCTGTGATGAGGTAACGTATCTAAGATCCATGCTACCTGCTTACAACTTCAAGAAACTCCCAGAGAAAATGAGAAAATGATGAAAAACATCTCCAACCCAGGGAACATATATGAATATCTTGGCCACAGAAGATGCATGTGAGTATCATTGTATGATAGGTTTACTCTCATCCGTTCCAGAACAATAAGTTTTTGATTACATGAAATTAGAAAAAAGTGTGCTGCTAGTACTGACATGCTGGAATAAGACACACAAAAGGAGGGTTTAGTGTCTGAGAGCTTTAGCTTTTTATGTTTAGCTCTTAGCTAGTTCTTCAGCAAATGTCCTGCTCTCCAACAGGAAGAGAAAAGCAGTAGGTCACTAACCCAGATCTTCTTTGTTCTTTTTTCTTTGTGTACTTCACTATTCATTTACTTCCCCAAGCCTGGAACAATCAATAATGTTTCCTCTTTACTCCCTCTCCCCCTAAATTTTTAGTTTTTAAAAACCCTTTTATTCAGAGCTCTGTACTGCCTTAATTATCTGAAAGTATTTGCTTATGAAGACAGCTGTTCCTAATCTATTTTTAATAAATACATTTCCCTTTGCTCTTTTTCTCAGAATGTTTGGGGAAAGACATTTGGCAAGAAAGAGAAACAAAAATCACCCTTTGTTGGGTACGTTTTCTTTTGTAACTTAAATCATATTTGATTCAGCTGTAGATGGCTAAATGTGATTTAAAAAACCAAACAATGCAAGACGAAATGCTTTTAAGTTATATTAAAAACTAGCAATCTTCTTAGTGAAATTTTGAAGATAACTTATTATTTCTTTTTCATGTCAAATATTCAAATTTCAGGTGAAATCCTATAACTGCCTGAGAAACACTAACATTTAGTAATAATCTTTGTTAAGTCATAGTTCAGCTATTGAGATCAGACCAGCTTAGTGTGGATCATCTTTAGAGAAAAAATCCTCGTCCTTAGAATAGTGAAAATAGCACCAAGACTGTGATCACCCACACTATGTATTCCCTATCTTTATGCTTATTTTGGTCTATACTTATTAGTCCATTATTTTTACATAGTAATAACAGATTTTGAAGACTAAATTGATTTTAAGAAAATTTTTACCAAAAGCATAAGAGGTACTCATGTCCACAAAGTGCCTAATTTTTCTGAATGTTACTATGTAGTCTCTGGAATAAGCCATCAATATCAGCCTATATTAGCTCAGAACTGATTTTCTGGAAAGAGATATGAAGCCCCATCAATGAATGAGATTCCTACAACAATTCTGGAGGAAAAAGGCCATTCTGAGAGTTAGCTTTGCAAACTGATTGAAATCAATAGAATGTCTGCTAAGAAGCACAGAAGTGTTAGGTGCTTCCTGTCTCTCTACAGACCGGGAGAAAGAATTGGAAGCCTTCCAAGTGGCACAGCAAAAGTGTTTGCATCAGAAGAAAGGACAAGTAGTTCTGTATGAAGGTGGAAAAAGCTATGGAAAAAGCCAGCTGTTGGCTGAAATAAACTTCCTGGCCCAGAAGGAAGGGCATAGGTAAAGACTCCGCTTTCTGACTTAGTCAGAGCCTACTTTTCTTGGGTCTTCTTTCCCTTGTTACTGAGACTCTTGTGTCATTAGATTCAGCATTCTTGGACTGGTGAAGCGAGTAACCTATGTGTGGTACATGGGACTCTTGATGACCATAGTAATATTCACCAGGGTGTTGCCATTGATGCTGAAGGAAGCAGATTCCGAGCAGTGCTTCTATGCCATCCAGACCCTCATGGCCATCTTCTTTGAGACTGATACATGCCCAGCCTATTACCGGCAAGAGTACCTACAAAGACAGCTTCATGGGATAATAGAAGAACAACTTCACTGCCTTTTTAATGACCTCTTATTTGTAAAGGTAATGAAGGCAGTGGCTTTCTGAATTAGATTACTATTATATTTTGTGGATATTCAGATTTAGGATTGTCTTCTAATCTAATAATCTGAGGATATACGTAGGCATATATGGTGGGACCAATATTTGAAATTCCTTCAACACCAAAACTCAGGCTTTCTCCTTTTGAGGAGAATGAATTCTAGTATTGAACCTGACACTTGCTAGTTGTATGTCCTGGAGCAAATCACTTAGCCTCTCTGAGTCACAGTTTTTTCATCTATGAAATAACAATTATAGTACTGTCTATGTTTTAATGTGAAATTTTAAGGAGATGGTATACAAAGAGATTACATTGTGTATTTTAAAGTGCTAAATACATTTAAGGTGGCCATCACCAGTGGCATATCCCCAGGAATTAAATCCATGTGTTCTTGAGTTGGTTACAGTTTCTTTTATCTTTTAACCATAACTTCCTGTTCCCTTATGGCAGAATATATCATTTGAAATCAGCGTCTGTATCTCAAAAGCCTTCAGAGGTCTAGGGTGTATGGGATATTCAGCAGTAAGCAAACTAAAAATTCACTGGTGCACAATTTGTTTTATTTATCCTCTATCACTTCTAATCTACCCACCCTGCAGAGTATTATGGAATAGAAAATAGAGACACTAAGATCTGTCTAATCCTTCAACATATCCCTCTCTTAAGGTAGGCCTTGCTTGGGACTCTAAAATCTTGCCCACATAGATTAGCAGTCATCTCTCTTTGGCTCTCAGGTCCCTCATAGTTCACATGCCCCAACCTAGCACAGGAAACAATGTTCGGTGATGTCTATCGCATCTTGTTCTGACAAGTCTCATGTACAGATTCATCCTGGTGTACTTGGAATAACTAGAGTACTGGAGCTGCCCAAAACGTCATTGCTAAGTTCAACCTGTCATTTATTCCTTAGTCATTACCCTCTAAGGGTTTTTCTGGAGTCTGGTATGGAAAGGAGATAGATACCTGCCTCTAACCCTTCATGAACTTTCTGTCTCACCCTTTGAACTATATATTAATGTTAGATTGGCCCTTGTAACTGTGCTCAATCTTGCAGAAACCCATTCTCAGCCCAAATAGAATTGTTTGGTGTTCTCTTTGGAGAACCTGCATGTTTTTATTAGGTTTTCATTTTAAATGCTAACATGTAATAATTTTCCTGGTCAGTTTCCTTTGTCCTTCAAAGTTTCACCCATGGATGATGTGGCCAGACAAAAGAAGATTAAAGCGTGTTTTATTAAAGTACTTCAGGAGGTGGGTACTTTCACTACATATCATTAACTCTTAATATGTGGAGATTGTATATGTTTATTTTAATCTGTCCACATCACACTTTGATTCAGGCATTTCTTGGCCTGTCTGTCTGTTGATATCTTTATTGTTATTTGTCTACTTTTAAGCTTGGATTTATCCTGTAACACAGCATGGCATACAAGAAAAGATCTTTACTCTTTTCAGATCCTGTTTCTAAATAAAATTTTAGTAGTTTAATTTAAAACAGTAGTTTCTAAATGCAGTCGTATAGCTGTTTTACCTACAATTCATTAAAAATGCAGATACTCAAGTTCTACCCTAGGATTATGGAATCAAAAATCCATATGAGCAGAAACTGATGTGACCATTCTGGAAAGCAATCTAAAAGTAGTCAAATTTTAGTAACATGTATCTCTAGACCCAGCAATTCAACTCCTGGATATATATCCCAACAAGTACATTTTTAAAAGTGTTTGTGGAGGCCAGGGAGGTATTGGCATGAATGCATGCATGAATATGATGGAACAAAATGCAGAATTTAGAAATAGGGGAATATATGAAAACATAGCCATATGAACTTAAAAACAGTCCTGGTTAGAAAGAGAGAAATAATGGGATCTGTGATACAGTTGCAGTTACTTAGAAACAATGTACTTGACAAAACAACAATGCACATTTTGTAAGAACACCATAGAAACAACTATGCAGTAAACACATTAGAATGGTCACTTGAGGCAGTGGTTTTTTTAAGTCTGTTTGAGTGGAGCCTGGTAATTGGGAGTGCTGCCAAATACTCCCAGGTGATTCTCATGCATAGCCTGGTTTGGAAATTGCTGTTTTAAGGTATTCTGAGTTCCCACACAAGATGAAGCTTTTGCCAAAATGAAATATTTGAAAGCTTCAGGTTTGATTTGGAGAATATTTTGATGCTTATTTCATGTTTCAGTTAGAGTATTTTCTTGTCTACAGAAACCTTTTTTTAGGGATTCAATTTTATATTTATAAAGTAAAATATTACCTGGACTTAGTACATTTTGCTCTGAAAACTCTAGCCGGTGTTAACATTTTATTTAAATTATTGATGGGAAATTCATGGTAGATTTGAAAACCAGGTGACTTTATTTCTGATCAGAGATCATTATTGTTTCTTTGCTGTTCTTTCCAGGCAGTGAGGAAAACACCACTGATTTTCCTCATTGATGAGGCCCAGTATATGGATGCAGCTTCCTGGGAATTTTTGAAAACATTGCTCTCCAGTATGCCCATCATTATGGTGATGACATTGACCCCTATCTTCACCCTGTGTGGCTGGGCCCAGCATTTCCTGCAGAGCCCTCAGGCTATCCTTATGCCTATTTCAAAATTGGCAACAACCTCACTGTTGAGAATGGCATGTTGGGAACTAGGGGTGGTGAGCATCCGCCAAGAGCTGCAGATGTGAGTGGCTAGGACTAGCTGAGCGCTTCATTAAAGGAGGAGCCAGTGCCATAGTATAAGTGAGAAGGCCCAGTTCTTACTGGAATTGGGGGAGAGAATGGTATTAGTAACCATGATGAGGCCCCAAGGCTAGATTTAAGGGAAACAGTCTTCTTGTAATCAAGTAAGGGGCTGCCTCCCTGGGCTCTCCACCTAGGTTTTCACAAGACAGTTAGGACTTGGGTGGCTTGCTTCATGTGTCAGTTATATGTGATCAGGCCACTTTCCGCCAGACTCTTTAGCAAGGGGACATTTGTTTCTTTCAACATCAGTAAAAGCGAAATAGTTGAGAAAGAAAAGTTATTGCCAAGATGCATTTCAAGGCCAATCAGAAATTAGTTTTTTACATTTCTGTGCCTCTGCCCCCTTCTGTTAGGGTTCGTCTTGAAGAGCTGACTTTAACAAAAGAAGATTCCTTAGTATGAAGTACTGTTATGCTTGGCTCCCCTAAAGTGATCATCTGTAATGTGAAATCCCTTACCTCCCTGCAGCTACCTTCACAGGTGCTTTGGAAACCCCCTTTATTGTGAGGTGCTATGCCAAGACCTTCTCTGTAAGGACATATTGCTCTTTCATGACCTACAAAAGGAGGAAGAGGAAAACAGCAAGTGGGAAAATCTCTCAGGTAAGCTTAGTTTCCCAGAGTTCTACCCTGGTCCAGCTGCTGAAGTTCATTCTCCAACACGACATTACTTGGCCTTTTCAAGGTACATTCTTCTTCTTTGCTAACATAGGCTACACTAGGCATTACAAGATAAGCATACAATGCAAATATTATACAGCTAGGGTGAAAACACTCAAGACTTGCCTCGGATAACTTAATCCAGTCAATCTACAATAGTTCCATTTATAAGCAGCCCAGGAGGTGGGGCTAGGAAATTAGGACTTAGAAACATGAAAGTCCAGAATAAAGAATTGTCCACGATTGATGAGAAGAATGACTTGAGGATTTGGATGGGGAATGGAAGAAGGGATGAGAGTAGGAGAGGAATAAAGGGTAGAAGTATGTATAAAAGCAGAAAGGCATCCCAGAGCTTTGATGTAATGGAAGCAAAAGCTGTTATAAGGTAAACAGGAATAGTGATTAGTTGTAAGATACCAGATGGTATGGGGAATGTTGTTAGTTTATGAGAGAAAATTAGAGAACAGGTAGACAGGTGGGGTAAAACACTTTAAACCACAGTACATTCCAGTCATCTTCATCCTTTAGGTTTCTTTTTTTACTAAATCATTATATTTTTGCACCTTTAAAACTACAGTCTGTGAGAATGGTGCTTTCCTCAGTCATAGCCTTCTTTATAGCCATTGCCATGAAATCCACAATGTATAGTATTTCTCCTGCCAACTCTGAAGAAGGTCAGGAACTTTATGTCTGCACAGTCAAGGATGATGTAAACTTGGATACAGTGCTTCTCCCACCCTTTTTGAAAGGTAAGTCCCTTGAAGACCTCAAGTGAACCAAATACAGATATCATTGCAATTTGTAATTTGGTGGGTGGTTGAGTATAGGTCTCTCATTATCATTCTGGCTTCATTTCTTCTGAAAAAGAAATCTACCTTCTAGAAATAAGTTCTGGCATTGACTGAAGAGCTCTTTGAAGACTTGTAATGCTACTTAAGTAAGGTTTTACTTACATGAGCTCATTGTTTTCATCAGGGACTGACTGATGACCTGGAAAAGTTTTCCAATTATTTAATAAAAAATAGGTCCTGAGTTTCCCTTTGTGCATATTCTTTTTCCAGAGTAGACAGTAAGCAAAGGAGATAACGTTGCTGAGATTTAAGAAAATCCATGGTGTTAGTGAAGATACAATGTTATGCACATAGCAAGAGTTTAATAAAAAGAGTGCAAAGTAGAATGACTAATGCCATAAAGAACGAAGAAGCTATCAGAATTGGGTAGGCATAGTTGGAGAGGGGATGTTCTTAGAAATGAATTGTTTCTTATTTTAATATTTTATTCAGGTGTCTGGTGGGCAAGGTACTAATACTTGAGGAATATTGTGATGAACAAGCGTACCTTCAAGTATAGTATGGTTTTGTTGAGAAAATAAGACACACACATGAAACAGCAGTACAGGACACCATGGAAGTTAAGGGCCAGGGCTCTAGAGTCAGAAAACCCAGGGCACCATGGGCTCCTGCACTTACTGGCTATGGAACTTCGAATAAGTTAGTCAACTTCTCACTCATCAGTCAAATGAAGATAATAATAGTTCCTACCTCATGGGGCTAGTTGAGGATTAAATACAATAAATTATGACACATAATAAATATTCCATGACTGTTAGCTATTACATTATAAGCTCTTTACTCTGGAGGTTTTAGGTTCAACAGAGACAGTTTACAATGATACAACTACGATAGACCATACTTGGCAATGGCTTTCCTTAGTTAGAAGGAAATACAGCATACTAACAGGACAGCAGCAGGTACTTTTCTTCAGTGAAAGTTTTCACAGCAATTTACATAGCATTCCAGGGGCTAATCTCTGGAACCTCAAGTAATAGCTCAGCTATGGTAAATGAAACCATGGCTCATGGGTGCTTAGAGGATCAACTAAAGGCTTTATCTCTTATAATGGTCCAAACAGACATCACTTTCAGGCTCTGCAAGGGGCATGGCCTATTGCAAGAATTGCTATACCCAAGGAAACCCAAATCTGTGGCTTGCCACAAGTTAATTCAGTTTTCCCAGTCCAAATTCAGTTTCCCAATTAGAGGTCATTCTTAGCATAAGCAGTGTTACCTGGTAACACAGCTGATATTCTAAGTGTTCTTAGGAAACAGCTAGAAAATTAACCCATCGTAAACCTTTTCAGGTAAGGAAAAAGGGCTTGTTAATTCACAAACTAAAATGAATAGCTCAAAAACCCTTGGTCAAGATAAAAGGCCAAAGCTATATTGTGAAAGCCCATATATAAGTTATAAAAGTGCTTAAGAAGGGGACTAGCATGATTATATTTGTACCTTAGATATATAATTCTGCTACCAGTTAATATAATATTGGAGTAAGAATGGGAGGAAATTAGAGATGTACAAAACAGGGTGTTATAATGATCCAGATGAGAAAGAGTATTTGAACTAACATTGTTTAGGAAAAAACATACTCAAAAGAAAGATGATGAGTGAGTAACCATTAGGTTGTGACAGAAAGGAAAAAAGTTAGAATTATTTTAAGGTTTGGGGCTTGGTGAATACTAATTTAATACTAATATTTATGTTGCAATGTAGAGAGATATATTGAATGGCTTGAAGTTAAGATCTTTACAGTTATCAGAGATCTGAGACAGGAAGCCTGACCTACATGTTTAGTTGAAAATAAGAAGAAAAGGGTCTGGATACTAATAGGTCAAGCAAATGGGAAGCATTACTATAGCTGAGTGAGGATTTTTCGGTCTACTGAAAAAAGCTTTTGGTGACCATGGGAGAACAGCTTTAATAGCGTAGTAAAAACCTGACTGTTGTTGGTAGAGCAATGAATGGAAAATGAAGACATAGCTATAAGGCTCTTGCAAGAAGTTTGATTAAGTGGAGAAGGGCAGATTGAGGTGGGGGCAGTAGAGAGGGGTAGGTGAAAATCATATATTTTTTTAAAAGGTACAAATTTTCAACATGATGTATTCTAGATTCGTAGAAATCTTGTTCATTGCTGATTGACTGATTGATTTTGGCAGAAATAGCAGTAAGCCGACTCGATCAACTGAGCCCAGAGGAACAGTTGCTGGTCAAATGTGCTGCAATCATTGGTCACTCCTTCCATACAGATCTGTTGCAGCACCTCCTGCCTGGCTGGGATAAAAATAAGCTACTTCAGGAGTTGAGAGCTCTTGTGGATATACATGTGCTCTGCTGGTCTGAGAGGAACCAAGAGCCTCCTAATGAGCCCATATTAGTGCCTTCCTCTATCAACATCACTGATCAAACCAAAGAGAAGACAAAGTTAGGTAAGGGAGGGCTGTTCCCTTTTTCTCAGATCTGAACGAAGAGTCCCTGTGGGGTTATCTGTGTTCAGAAAGACCATCAATATTGTATATCAAGGGGTTGTCTCATTTGCTGGTTTAAAGATGGTGTTTTGTTATGTTGCCCAGATTGTAATTCTTGGGCTCAACAGGTGCATACCATCACCCAGTTTGAGGGCTTCTCTCTCAAAGCCTATGACCAAGAAACGAAAAGAAAATTATCATTTAAACCATGAAGGAGACATGGATATAGTAAAAAATATATATGATGTATTTTTCAGACTTGTCTTCATTTCAGAAATTCTAGCTCCTTGTTAACCCAGGTGTTAGTATTTTGTTTTGATTTTTGGTTCAGAAAATATTGACATAATCTTTTATTGGCTTCTAGGTGCAAAGAATGAGATAAAAGGATAAACCATCCCCAATTTCAGAAACTCACAAGGAAGACAAACATATGTGGTATTGAAACAGACTCATGTCTTGAATTTTCCACCTGAAAAAAGAAAATTGTAGCATGGACTATCCAAAGCACATATAATTTTCCTTTGACTTTGAAATATGTTTGGACCTGATATTTGAACAGAGCATTCCCTATGATTTAACACTTATAATAATTTGAAGAAAAATCTCAATTTAGGAGACACTATTATTAAATCAGTGGTATGTTTTTGTACTGTTGATGATTTCTTCTCTGTTATACTTTATACTAGACATGGTCAATATCAATCTCGGAATAATGCAAACATTTTTATACAAAGGAGGCAGTAATATCATCCTAAATTTACAAATAGAATTTTCTTCTACACTAGCAGCCATGTGCTTGGGAGTTTGCCATATTGAAGCTCAAAAAGTTTATAAGGGAAAATCTCACTTAGATTTTCCTAAATTTCAGATGGTGATTCGACCTCTCTTCTCACACTACAAGAAGAATTATCCCTACCTCAAACTGAGGTGTTGGAATTTGGAGTGCCTCTACTACGGGAAGCTGCTCGGGAGCTCTGGCCCAAGGAACAGCAGACAGCTCTGCACCTTGAATGTGCCTGCTTTCTCCAAGACTTGGCCTGCCGCTGTGGGAACTGTCATGGAGGAGACTTTGTCCCTTTTCATCATTTTGCAGTTTGTTCTACTAAGAGTTCCAAGGGGACCTCTGGATTTTGTACTTACAGAGATACTGGCTCAGTGCTAACACAAGTGATGACAGACCAATTGCAGCTGCCTTCTCCCCAAGGTAAACCCAGGAGGCAGAAAGAGGATATATTGGTATTCATGTATGTGGAGTTCTTCATCAAAAAGTTGAAATCAGATTAAGGGAGAAAAGTAGACAGAAAGAACCACTTATTTATTCCTGAAGTACTAGAGATTAAAAAAAATGTAATCTCAGAATTAAAAGCAACATTAGAGATCAGATCTGTTTTGGCTGGCAATCTTGGGCAAGTTACTTAACCTCAATCAATTGGGGACAGTAATAATATCAACTTCATGGGCCGGGTATGGTGGCTCATGCCTGTAATCCTAGTATTTTGAGAGGCTGAGGCGGGTGGATCGCTTGAGGTCAGGAGTTCAAGAGCAGCCTGGCCAACATGGTGAAACCCCATCTCAACTAAAAATATAAAATAGCCCAGTGTGCTTGTGCACACCTGTAGTCCCAGCTACTCAGGAGACTGAGGCACGATATTCCTTTGAACCTGGGAGATGAAGGTTGCAGTGAGCTGAGATTGCACCACTGTACTCCAGCCTGGGTGACAGAGTGAGACTCTGTCTCAAAAAAATTAAATAATTAACTAATAATAACAATACTAATTTTACTGGGTCATTGTGGGGATTAAATTAGTTAATGTAGTATGCTCTGAACAGTGCTAGACATATGGCGAGTGCTCAATACACTTTAGCTATTGTTTTGATAATTACTATTATTTTTCAGCTCAGTAGACATATATTGAGTCCTTATGTGTATGAGATTCTACGCTAAGGAATATGATGTGAATAAGCATTGATCTTTGCACTCCTGAAGCTATCTGTTTGGGGGTTACTACAGACATAGAGATAGAGAATTCTAGTATGGCATGGTAAAATCAATGAAAATGAGAAGGGGCCCTTAACTCAGCCAGGGAAATATGTCAGTGAATACTCTCCTTTGAAGTAGATCATGTCAGAATTGTGTCTTGAGGTATAAGGAGGAGTTAGATGCCTGAAGAAGGTTTTAATAGTGAATAGATGTTCACCATAGCCTGATAAACTGTATCCCAGATGAGTTCATTCATCTTTGTTTTAACCTTTTCAGTCAGCTTACCTTACAGAACAACTCATTGCCTCCAGCTGTCAGAAAGTTTCTTCTTTCATAAGCATGTAAGCTGCCTCCTTGCAGCTTCACCCATGCTCCATAGTTATACCTTCCTCCATACTTGACGATAGCTATGGAGACCCAACCAGATCCTCTCCCTACTTTGATAAAAGAGGAGTTGGTTCGGTACTAGGGGTGGGGTGATGGTATGGGGAAAATGATAGATAGTTGCTGGCAGAGGGCTAAAATGAGGGATTTGGTGTATGATCCTAATTCCTCTTCTAGCTATAACATCACAACTATGAAGGTAGACCAATGACTTGGAGCAATTAGTCATCGGTTGATGAGCTCTATGGGCTTTTGCACCTTTTGTACTTTGAAAGTCTAGTATTGTGAAGAAATTGCACTACTGTTCATATTTCCTGTGTGACTTTTTGAGAGGTCAGTTTTTTTGCTTGGGATTAGACAGCCTGGTCCATCTATAGGAAAAAGGCTCAAGACCTTCTCAGCCCAGAAGAACCCTGAGGAGGCTTCCCAGACCTGAGGTCTTTGTGCATAGCCATTACATACCAGGCACTGTCTGACTCCAGAGGGTACTATTATAGAGGCTATGATATTATGGTGCCTCTTAGAGTTGTGTACTGCAGTAGGGCTGCCAGTATCCTGTTATCTTAGCTGTGACTTGACATCATTATCATCAAAAAGCCAGTCCTTTTACTTAACCCAAATCCTCTCTAGAACAGCTCTCTTAGACTCCTTATCAATCCCACCATCCATGCTGTTAGTTTCAGTGGGTAACATCTCAACATCATTTCTAACAGTTGCTGTTGTGATCTATTAGAAGGCAGCCTCAGAAGAAGAGTCAAATCTGTAGGATAAAAAGGTTATTTAAAGGCCTGCTAGGTAAAGCTGGAAAGCTCTCTTGGTCACTGACTAGGGAAGTGTGGTATCTTGTACTATCACAATTTTCTTCACTTGGTTTTAGCCTATACAGTTCATTTTGATCTGGTCATGAACCTGATCCATACATATTCAGGGATTTCCACTATTAGAAATAGCCAGCAAACCAGGATGGACACTTTCTTAATTTTTCCTTCATTTTGAAAACACTGAATGCATCTTTCAAAAACAGAACTCGTTTGAAGGTTTGGGAATGAAGAGAGTTACTATTTGAGTCACAAGCAGTTGTGAAGGAATTTACAAAATACCATCTTAATTTTGTGTTGTAAACGGCAGAGGAAAGGTAGTCAGGAATTTATAATGTCCTCAGTTTATCCAAACATGGAGAATTAATCATATTTTTTTTCTCCCTACAGATAGTTTTCAGTTCCAGATGAAACCATCCAGAACTCAGGAAGCCTTCTCCAATGAATGCTGCAGGTAGACAGAGAAGCTGAGGGTGAACATGGAGGGGCCAAAAGTGACAGAAAGATGACCATTAAAATGAGCCACTTATGTCAGTTGCAGATGGGCTGTCATGACTCTTGTACTCAGCCCAGTATTCAGGTTAACAGAGAAGATTTGGAAAGGCAATTTTTGATTCTTTATAGGAAAATTATTTCCTAATGGTTGAGAAAAACTTTCTTTAATACCTTTTTGTTTGTTTGTTTTGAGACAGAGTCTTGTTCTGTTGCCCAGGCTAGAGTGCAATGGCATGATCTCAGCTCACTGCAACCTCCACCTCCTGGGTTCAAGCAATTTTCCTGCCTCAGCCTCCCAAGTAGCTGGAATTACAGGCATGCCTGGCTAATTTTTGTATTTTTAGTAGAGACATGGTTTCACCATGTTGGTCAGGCTGATCTTGAACTCCTGACCTCAAGTGATCCACCCACCTTGGCCTCCCAAAGTGCTAGGATTACAGGCGTGAGCCACCATACCCAGCCTTTTAACAGCTTTTAAGTTCGTTTTATAAGTAGCATATTTTTTTCCAGCTAGAAATTTGTCTTCTCAATTCTTTTTACCCCAGGGGATAGTAAAATGAATATACATTTCCTAACCATATACCTTCTGGGTCTCTGATGTTTATCAGTGTTCGATGTTCCTACCTAGAGTTCAGCAGCCACTCTACATACAGTTTTTCATCCCACTTATCTAACTTGATTTCTTACTATTTTCAAACAAAAATCCATTCTACATGAACCACCACCCCCACGCTAACCTGTATGTCTTTGTTCACACAATTCTCTCTTGCTAAATGCTGAGTGACCTCCACATCTCACCAGCCTTCAAGGCCCTCCTCAGTCTCCACTTTGTTTGGATGATTATAGCTCAGAGAGGTCTGACTTTTGAGCTCTGCATGCCTGTGAAAAGTGCACTAGAATAGTAGTCAGAGAGTTAAGCCCTAGTTTTGGTTCTACTTCTCAGTAGCTATGAAGCCATATATAATCTCTTGGAGTCTCAATGACCTAAAGGAGATAATTCTTGCCTGCCTGAATGACGGAGTTGTTGTAGGATAAAATGTGGTATTAGAAAATTCAAATGTGCTAACAGAAAAAAAAGTATCATTATTTATTGCCTTATATCATTTTTTATGTTTAATTTAACATTTAGATTATTTAACTATTCAAGTGTGGTGTTTCCCCATTTAGATTGAGGTATTTAGATTGGCTTTCAGCTTTTAAAAATTTCTAATAGAGCTTTGCAGTTATAGCTCTGGTTCCTGACTTTTAAATTTTTATGGGGTAACGGAGAAGGATAGACAAAGAATTAATGAATGATACCCGAAAGCTTCCTGGAAAAAGTGACTTTGAGACCTGGTAATGCCCAAATAAAGGTTGCCATTCTCAGTTATTCATTTTCTTTCCACAAAGAACAGAGGAAGAGTTCCTAGATCAAGTGAAGAGGAAGCTGGCTCACACCAGCCCTGAGACAGACCTGTTGACCACAAAGCCTTGTCACTGTAAGGATATCCTGGAGTTAGTGCTCTCACCCCTCACCCAGCATTGCTTGGTCATTGGAGAAACCACCTGTGCATTTTATTACCTGCTAGAGGCTGCGGCTGCCTCCTTGGACCTGTCAGATAGTTACATGGTGAGCAGGTTCTGCAATCCACCCTTCAGCTGAGCCTTTTACTGAGAATTTGATTGAGATTTCTTAACATCATAACCATGAGTGAAAAGTGGAAGAAAGTAGGAGAGGGAGAAGAGCTAGAAAGAAGGCAGGAAAAAAATGAAGTGGGAATGTGGTAGCGGAATAGCACCAACCCATGTCAGCACTGCCCCCAACCCTTGCACAAGCAGTCCAGCTCCTGTTTCTAGCTTGAAATCCAAATTGTATTTAAATTCTGATCTTGACTCTCATCATAACCTTACTCCAGCCTTTGCCCTAATCTCACTCCAGCATCATCCTAATCCTAATTCAGTTTCTTTATCCTTTGCCCTGTTTGGAGGCCTTCTTTTATTTGAGGAAGGCAAGCAGTCTTCTGGGCCAACCCTCAGCATTTTCATTTTTGAAAAAACACAAGGCGAAGATCTGTCAGTTTGAGGAGGCCACTTTCTGCTGTCTTCTGTCAGAGGTGAGGGCAGAGGGTGACCTTGAAGTGCTGGCTATTTCTCCTTGAGGGTTACCCTATTATTTCTTTTAAAATCGTTTTGTTGTTTTTTATGTACGATTGTAAATGTGATAATGTGATAAAAGGTTATACACATTTAAAATGTTTATACACATTCTCAGCAAACTAACACAATAATGGAAAACCAAACACTGCATGTTCTCACTCATAAGTGGGAGTTGAACAATGAGAACACATGGTCACAGGGAGGGGAACATCACACACTGGAACCTGTTGAGGGCTAGGGGGCGAGGAGACGGATAGCATTAGGAGAAATACCTAATGTAGATGACGGGTTGATGAGTGTAGCAAACCATCACGGCATGTGTATACCTATATAACAAACCCGTACACTTTGCACATGTACCACAGAACTAAAAGTATAATAAAGAGAATAATAAATAAAATATGGAAGTATATAATAGGTAGAAAGTGAAAGAGCTCCCACTAATCCTACTCTCTGCACCATAATTAATAATTGTATGCATGTTCCACCAACTGTACACACACAGCCATATCATTATTGTTTTCCATTATTTTTCATAGGATCGTATTCTACATTTTCTTGTTCTTGCAGCTTGCTTTTTTTCTTAATAGTTCAGATTGAACATGTTTACATATTGGTGTGCATACTGATCTACCACATAGTTACAACTACCAAGTATTCCATTGGCTAGATCATAGCTTAGCTACTCCCTTCTTCAGGTGCATTTTGGTTATCTCTAATTTGGAGGTTATTATTAACATTACTATAGTGACTATTCTTCTTAAATATCTCTTTCTCCCCTTGTGAGAGCGTTTTCTGTAAGAAAAATTTTCAAAGGTGGAAATATTAAGGCACAATTTAAAAATTAATAAATATATCACCAAATTGCCAACCAAAAATATTATATCAACATTTCTTCATATCCTTACTAACATCAGATACTATCAGTCTTTTCTAACCTTGCTAATTCCTAGACAAAGTTACATTGTTTTAATGTTTCTCTTAATTAAAGGTACATCATTCTTCTATGTTTATTGGTCATTTGTATTTATTTGCGAATTATTCATTTATGTTCATTGAAGTAGATATAAGCCAATTTTCTCATTGGAGCATATGTAAACTAATTTTAATGTAAACCTTAAGATAATTTGGTTAGGAGAGTAAACTTAATGTACATAATGTCTTGAAAGACAAAGGAAATATTAGAGTTGTCACATTGTTTAATTATTTGCGCTTCAACCAAGAGGTCTTCAGAGCAAAGTTAAATAATTATTCTTTCCCTTTATAAGAGAAAGTTATTGTACAGTCCTCCCAAGATTGTTCTAGAATCATGTCGACTTTATCACTTTCTTGAGGGATTCAGCCTTAGAATGTGAAGATACTGGATAACTTCAAGGTAGCTCCCCGGCTCCCATTCCACATCTGCTATGGTTCAACCTGTTTAGGAAGGAGAGAGAAAGGACTTGGTGATATTATAGATTCTTTCTATGCCATATGAGAGCATCTGGGTCTCCATTCAAATGATGATCCCATCTCAGTCTAGCAGCATCGTATTTTAAATCACAGCCTTCCTCTACTGCCCACTGACCAATGTGCGGGAGATGAGAAAGGAGGATGCTTTTGCCATAATCCTATTTTCTCAACCCTTTACTTGCTTTTGGCCATACTGATGCTTGTTAGTGTGACTGCTAACCAAGCTGTGCTCTAGCTCAGCTCACTCTAGCACCTCAGAGCATAGCCTGGTTGGTCACACTAACAAGAACTTCAATTACCCCAATTAAAAATCTCAAAAGAGCCAGTGTGTTATATCCAAAGCCTTATATTTACATTACTTCTTGTTTTCCCATCTCCAGGTCTGTTTCAGCATGGGACACATTACTTTAGCCAAAAAATTGGCTAGGAAAGCCCTTTGACTGCTGAAAAGGAGTTTCCCTTGGACCTGGTTTGGTGTCCTTTTCCAGACATTCCTGGAAAAGTATTGGCATTCCTGTTCCCCAAGCCAACCTCCAAATAATCCTAGTGAGAAGTGAGAAGGCTCCCTAAAACTGTAGTTAACGAGCCTGAGCTTTGCCTTTTTTTTTTTTAACCTAAAACTACTCTTTTACAATCAAGTAATCTTCAAGCATCTAACAGGCAAGCAGATAAAAAGACACATAACAGTCAGCATACGTATATGTGCATGTAACAGATAAGTGTATAACATACAGTTCTCACTCTTCCATCTTACTCCCCCAGCCAATTACATGTAGCAAATAGGGATTCAAAGAAAGAATCTTTTTTTGAAACCTCTCTCTGAACTTTTCTTGATCAAGAGGGACTAATTAAAATGGCACACGAGGTTAGGAGTAGTGCGATCCGAGAACTCTTTCCGCATTTGGACATCTGTAGATGGCCCCAAGATAAGTAGATTTGGAGCTCTTATGGGGAGGGAAGGTTGGGCATTAGTAAAGAATAAGGGTGTGCTAACCACCCTGTGCCTCAAAACAGTAAGAAGAAGTTGGCAGTACTGCAGCAGCGGGTGCATTGCCTCTCCCTACTCTGGCAGCTCTATAACCTGGAGGCCACAGCCAGTAGCTGCAGGTTTGCTTGCCTCGCTACTCTGATGCAGAAAAATTCAGCAGAGGAGCTTGCAAATGAAGCGCAGGTAAGCAAGTCCTTGCTTTACCTCTGGATCTCACTTAGAAACTTCAAGTGCTGTGGAGAAAGATCCTGCCAAGTTCCTGGTTTTAGCATGGTTCCCCAATAACCCAGACTTAACTGGATAACACTGATCATGTGTTCAAGCGAGGCTTCTTAATTTGCAGTTTATAGATGGGTTTCCAGGTATGAGATTATCTGTGAACTCTCTGAACTGAATGCAGAATTTTATGTGTATATTCAAAAGAACCTTTGGGGGCTGGCAGGAGGAAGAAAAGGGGTCATAGCTTTCATCACATTCTCAAAGAAGCCTGTGATCTAAAAAAGGATTTGAAACTGCTGATTTAGGAAAAAACAAAAGAAAATGTGTTTTCCTAATTTTAGTGTCTTATCTTTCTGTCTTATCCACATATGCAATAGCAAACTATTTGGTGAACACCTCTTATATGCCAGGCACTGATCTTGACTCCAGGGAAATATAATAAGTAATATATACAGTATGTTGGGTGATAATCAATGCAGTGGAGAAAATTAAGTGGAGACAAGGGGATATGGGATTCTGTGAGGTAAGGGATGGGGTATAGTTTTGAATAAGGTGGTCAGAGAAAGCTTTACTGAGCAGGTGACATGAGTAAATATCTGAAGGAGGCAAGAAAGCCGGGCTATCTGGGAGTAGAGTATTCAGGCAGAAGGCACAGTAAATGCCCAAGGCATACCCTCTGTGTTTGAAGGACAGTGTGACTGGAGGGGAGGAAGAGGAAGCGAGTGAACCAAGAGATGAGGTCAGAAGGACTGGGAAGGGGTGGGATGGCAAATGGTGCAGACCTTAGATAGGCCACTGTAGGAGTTTTGGCTTTTACTCTGAAAGAGATGGGAAGCCATTAATGGGTTCTGAGAAGAGGAGTGATAGGATCTACTTATATTTTAACTAGATCATTCTGTCTACTGTGTTGAAAGTATCCTGAAGTGGACAAGGAAGGAAGCAGGAAGACCAGTTAGGAGGCTATTGCAGTAATATAAGCAATAGATGGTGGTGGCTTGGATTATTGTGATGGAAAAATAAGTTGAGGGTGGTCTTTTGTCAAAATAGAGCCAACAGGATTCACTCATGGATCAGTTCTGGGATGTGAAGGAAAGAGTCAAGGATAATCCCAAAAGTTGTGAGTTTAACTTACAGAGGGATAGAGATGCTCTTATTTGGGATAGGGACGTCTACAGGAAGAACAGATTTGGAGAAAGATTTGGGAGCTAGGCTTTGGAAATGTTTTATTTTAGATGGCTGTTGGACATCCAGGTGATGAGTCTGGTTAATACGAGTCCAGGTGAATACACAAGTCGGGTTCATGGGAGAGATATGAGCTGGAAATAGACATATGGGAACCATTAGTGTGCAAATACTATTTAAAGCCATAGGACTGGGTGAGAACACCAAGGGAATGAGTATAGAAAAGAAAAAAGTCCAAGGACTTTGTTAACAACTCCAGTATTAAAAGGTCAGAGTGGTGAGGAGAAACCAACAAAAGAAATTGAGAATAAGTTGCCAGGGAGACAAGGAAAACCAAAAGAGCATGACATCCTGGAAAGCTAGGAAAGAGTGTTCCAAGAAGAGAACACTATGTCAAATGTGGATGTAATTATATAGAAATCTAGGCAGCATCCCTGAAGAGCTCTACAGAGCAAATATCAGAGATATTTAATAAATTAGAGAAGACAAAGTATAGTTTAATCATTGTTTTGAAGGGGAAAGTCATGGATTGGAGAGGAAAAGCAGAAGCATGTAGAGAAATTGGTTTGTTTAAAGACAGGCAGTGAGAATGATTCAATTAGAACTGCAGGGGTGAGAAGGAGCATATTTTTCCAGCCGGGTTGGAGGCAAGTGGTAGGGATACCAGGAGTTCAGACTGAGTGAGCAGCAAGGCACTATAATAGGCTCTTACAGAGGAAAGGAACAAAATGGAAACGTCACGTGAATGTACAATGGGAATATTTTGCCCTGTGTTTGTTTTCCTACAGGTTGTCTCTACCTATGTGGACCTCTCTCAGTTCTCCCAGACCATGGGCAACAAGGAGAAGTGGCTGCATTATGAGCAAATGGCCATTAAAAAAAGCAGTTTATGTTGGTTCTCCAGGGAGGGATTGTTGGCCACAGCTCAGCTCATGCAGGCCCTTGCCTACACCAAGCTCTGCCTTGGCCATCTTGACTTCTCCATCAAGCTGGGTAATGGGACTTAGAGCTGGTGAGTCTAGGGCTTTTAGAGAGTACACGTTCACAGCTAGACCTCACACAGTGCTCTTGAACCTCCTCAGGTTTTCAAGCTCTTGAGATATGCAGATACCTCAAGAAACCAGCCCTGGAGAATCTGGTCCTCTCGGTTCTCTTCAGATCTGCATTTCTGAAGAAGTATTAAGATCATTTTCTGTCATTTGTATTTGTTTTCTAAGAGGGGTGTGTATATTTTCCCAGAGAAGTTTGGAATGGAGAGGGAGATGCTGTTCTATTTCCATACCTGGGGATATCTTTCCCTTGGCCACTGCGGAAGCATTATCTTAAGTGTGGAAGAGTCAGGAGTGGAAATGCAGTCAGAGCTGCTATATACTCCTCAATACTTGGGGCTCATGGACAAATTTTCTTCAAAAAAAAAAAAAATTCTGCAGAGAGATAGAAAACTGCAGCAGCTCAAGACCCTGAAAATTGCCTCGGAAGCAAATTCCCACCTCCTTTGCCTAAAGATGGGTCTGATTCCAGGCACAGATGTTCTCTACATAAACAGAGCTGTGAAGAGGAGATCTAGGGGATGTTAGGCTGCTTTTAGGGTATAAGACCCCTTCCTTTCCTACCCCTCCTCCTTACTCCCTAGCTGGTCCAAGTGGCTCTGTCTCTTGGCAGATTTGATCTGTGTGTCCATGTGCTGGAGAGTCAGTGGGCATTCATTTCCCAGGGTTATGATGTCCTTGGCCTGGCCTGCTTTTATTCTGCTTGCTTAGATCTGCTGCTCTACGGAAAAGGGAAATCTTGCACAGGTCTCTGCTGTATTCCTGAGGGATTCATACGTCAGATAGGGCTCTAGGTTTGGAATACAGGCAGTCATGAACCTGTCCCTCAGGCATGGCCTCTACCTCTGACCTCTGGCTCCTTAAAGTCTGGGAACCATGCTGTGATTCAGGGGTGTCTGCCTTTGGGGTCTTGTTTCCTTCCCTGTATCACACACCTTCTGTATCCTAGTTCCTACACTAACAATGTATGCTAGCCTGGTTACCTTCTGTTTCCACAGGATTGCTATGTCGGCCCTTTAGTGAGTGTCTGCATTTCATTCAAATCTATGAGCACAGCTGTGTTCTAATCGCTCAGAGCAATGTCATGCTGGGATCCACTCCTCCCTGGCTATGTGGTAATGTCTTACCCAAGGGCTGTGGGAAAGGATAGATATTTAAGTCATTTAAGCTATCTCTCCCCACCAGGCAGGACTATTGAATATCTCTAATCAACTTTTAAAGCCCATATACCTCCCATCCCCTCCTATCTTATTAGAAGGGCTCTTGTCCTTTAACAGGTTTTGGCCTATAGGTCAAGGGTTAAGTTTAGGTTTACATTTAAGTGCTACAGTAACCCATAACAAGGCTGAATATAACTGGTCTCCTTTTAAGTTTCCTTGTATGTGAGTTAATAGCCTTGGTCACTTTCTAACATCACTGCACTTCTGACTGTCCAGGAGGTCTTAGAGCCTTAAAGAAGTGACAATTTTAAGCAAAAGCCATGGTTGGTAAGCAGTGGATATTGCTGAGAGCTGTTAACTCTTTTCCTCCAGGTTTGCCCAGGAGTCACAATGGGACCTCTTTGAGCACTATTTCTCTAAGTCTTGCCAGTTGGTGAAAAGAACCAATGCCTCACTATTTGGTGCTCATGGCTTTGTCCGATTCCTAGAGTGTCATGTGCTAATATTACAGAAAATGCCAGAGGGTATCTTCATGCATATTCCCCTAGAGCTTCGCAGCCAAACCCTCGAGGTACCTGTTTCTCAGTTGCCCTTCAACTAACACCTAACTCACTTAGATCTACCCTATGATGCTCTTTCTGCCACCTGGATCTCTTCCTTACCTTCCCTTTTACTGGCTCTGACTCCCTTTACTCTGAATCCTTTGTTTCTCCACATAGAAAGTTTCCACCTACCTTATGTATCCTTCCAGATGTTATTGCATCTAGGTCTGGACTGGGTTTCTTAACTTTCCACCTTTGCCAGCTACTACCCAGTGCCATTAAAATATTAACATTTAGCCCTGCTCAGTGAACCTATACTCTATGGTTCAGTCTATAATTTGACACATCTACCTACAGCCCTTCTGAGTCTAGAACACATTCCAGTTCCTCTGTATCCCCAAGTCAGTTTTCAGGCCCACTTTGCCATCAGTAACTCCTCCCTGTTCCCCTAGTCATGAGTGAATATGTTGAATGAGGACCTTTGTAAGTGGCATGTTAGGAGAATGAAGCACTAATCCCAGAGCTAATGTACCTTCTTTTCCTTTCAGTACTTTAAAGAGTTCTTCTCTCAATGTGTGACCTGCCCTGTCTATCACCAGTGGGTATCTGAGCTTAAGGCCTCTGTAATGAGGTGTGAAAAGAGGGAATTCATATCCCTGACTAAGAGCATCAGGCCGTTTGATACCTGCTTCACCAGGATTTGGATAAAAGGAGACTTTCTGGAGGAAGAGAACTCTTAGAAATTTAGGAATACAGAGTAAGCATTTCTTCCTGGAACCCTTGTGTGAGAGACATAAAGATTGTCTTAGATTCTTACTCACAACCAGTCAAAGGCTGCACCTCTGAAGTAAAAAGGGACACACAGATATAAGGAGTTAGTCCTTGCTCTAGAGGTAAATATAGTCTTCTTCCTAGTGCTAGACCCTACCTGGACAAACAGGAACATCTTACTATTATTAAACAGCAATGTTTTCAGCTTCTCTCAGCCCTTTGTTTCAGCATTAGTAACCCTTAAGCATAGAAAGTTCTTTGCTCTTAGCCAAAGCAATTGGGTTGTTTCCTTGGAGTAACTGGATGGTGACTAAGGAGAGAAAAAGGTCTTAGAAGTCACAACATATTGTCTATGAAGGTGAATGGTAAGATTAGGCAAGAAAAGGGCAGGAGAGAATGTATTTCTTTTATTGTATATAACATTCTTTTATTGTATATAACGATTCTTTTATTGTATATAACATAAGGAAATGCCCCCAAATTCTCCTTTTAAAGCTATAGTGTACACATTAAGTATCCTAGCCTTTACAGTTACTGCTATCTATATCTTTATCAAAATAAAAGCCTATGTTTTCTGAAACATACTACTTAGATCTTTTTTTTTTTTTAAACTCTTAACAGTCATTAGCACAACTCTACCAGAAGTTAAAACCCAAGAGTAGCTGGGAGGCTGGCAGGCCTTAAGATGAACTGATTTCATCTTTTATAAGATGGGATCCATTCGCAGATGAAAAACTATGACCCTAATGAAGAAGTTGTCATTACTTAAGGAAGGCTGGTAGTGCGAGTGCCTCGGTGTTACCCTCTTTTGGCACAGATATGGTCATGGGCTCCTAAAAAGTCAAGGACTCTTTTCAGAGGTACAAAGGGCTGTGGGAATTCATTTCTCCTTAGTGCGATGTGGTTTGGGCATTTCCAGGTGAAATTGTGAAGTTGCCGGCGTATGTATCACTTCAGCTTTCTTCCTTTTTCTCCTGCTTGGAGTTGCTATCTTTGGCCTTTATCTGTTTGATGGCCTTACTTCCACTGCGTATGATCTTTCCATTGGTTTCTTATGCTTTATAACTCAATCATCTAGTGTCCATCGAGTGAATTTGCTAATGTTATGATAGGTGCAATTCATTACTTACTTACTTGGGCTTGAAATACATTGTTTAATCTTCTATCTACGCTGTGAGGCAAGTACCCATATTACATATAAAGAAATGGAAGCCTGGGAAGAGTTTACTCCAACAAACACAGCCGCAAAATGGTACAGCTGAGCTTCTAACTCAGCTTTGAGTCCAAAGATTATGCTAGGTTATGCAGGCTTTCCTGGAAACTAGGCTTTCCTATATCCAGTGTTCGCTGTTCTCTTCAAATGCCCAAGATCAGAACTTGAAAGACAGGAAGGGAGATGTTTATGAAAGGGAGGCCTGTACTTGCCCTTTAAATCACGCAATCTAATCTCTACATTTTCTCCTTCCACTTTTCTCCCTCTTGGTACCTTTCTTTTTCCTGTCCCTCTGTTCCCTCCATCTTCTCCCTTGCATTCCTCCCACCTTACTTCCTCCTTTCTTTCTTCTCACCCACTTTCCCCTCTGTCCTTCTCCCTCATTCCTTTAAATTGCTAGGAGGTAATATAGAGTAGCCGTCCAAACAATCACTCTGGAAACAGATAGGCTGGGTTGAAATTCTAACTCTGCTGCTTAGTAGCTGCATTCATTTGGACATATAATTTATTTTCTATATGCCTCAGTTTCCTTTTCTGTAGATGGAGATAAAATATCCTTTTGTCCTAAAAATAGGACAAAAGAGTGTCATTATGAAGATTAAATGACTATAAAGCACCTGGCACATAGTAAGCACTCAATGACTGGTAGCTATTATTATTGGTTCAGCTTTTATAATTAAAAATAGATGTTACATTTATATGGTACAAAATTCAAAAGAAACAAGCCTGTAACAGTGAAAAACTCTCTCATCTCTGTCTTCCAGATACCAGTTGCCCTCCTCAGAGGTAATTAATGTTACCACATCCTTGTGTATCCTAGCAAAATTATTCTACGTACGTGTAAGCAACAGTATAAAGTTACTGCATCCTTCTTTCCCACAAATAGTGGTGATAGATAATAACACCCTACACTACTGTATCCTTTTATTATTTTTTTTTTTGGCATTCCCTTTTGGCACTTTTAAAATTGAGATAAAATTCACCCTTTTAAGGTATATAATTCAGTGCTTTATAGTATATTTGTAAGATTATACAACCAGATCCGACTTTCAAGATGGCCGCCTAAGAACAGCTCAGGACTTCAGCTCCCAGTGAAATTGCAGAGGGTGAGTGGACGCCGCATTTCCAGACGAACTCTTATTGCCCACAGACCAGGAGATACCCAGGCAGAGGGGTCGCCAGCGTCGCAGTCCCAGCCGGTGCGGCTGTTTTGGCCCCCGAGGGGCTGATTCCGCCCGCGCGGCTGCTGTGACCACTCCCTGTTGCTGCGGTTCTCCATACAAAAGCCACTGGTCTGGGAGCCCTCTTAGCTGGCGAGCAGAGCCCTGAGACGGCAGAGTGGGCCATTCATCTGAAATAGCGAGTCAGGCCGGGAGATTCCTAGGCAAAAAATCCGCCAGGAGCCGGCGCCACAGTTCGAGCCGACTCCGTGAGTCGCAGCATGGGAGATCCCGGCGCCTTTTCAACAAGCGACCGGAATGCGGGGTCCTTCAACTTAAAAGAAAAGACTCTGAGTCAGGGAGCCAGGTGATCAGGCTCGGTTGGTCCCACCCCTCCACCCCCAACAACAACGAAAACAAAAACAGTAATTGGAAACCCTCTGGGTTGAGCCCTTCAAACCAAGCACAGCTGAACCGGGACGGTCCGGCTCCGTGGGGGAGGGGCTTCCGCCATTACTGAGACTCTCCACCGCTACGGAGGCAGGCTGCCGTTGCCGAGGCAACCCGCCGTTGCCGAGGCAACCTGCCACAACAGAGAGAGTCCGCCATAACAGAGGCGGGGCCACCATTGCCCAGACAGTTCTAACTACGCCCATATAAAAAGGACTACAGGGAAGAGCTCAGGGCAGCTGGGCGGAGCCCACAGCAGCTCAGCAAAGCCCCTGCGGGCAGGCAGAGGCTAGGCCTGCTGCTAGCTGGGCGGGTCCGACCTGAAAAAAAAAAAAATCAAAAAAGGCAGTAGTGCAACAGAAACTCATAAAGCTCCAACTCCCTGGGACAGAGACAGACAACAGGTGGATAAACCCACAAAAATGGGTAGAAACCAGCGTAAAAAGGATGAAAACTCCCGAAACCAGAACACCTCTCCTCCTAAAAGTGATCACAACTCCTCACCAGCAAGGGAACCAGACTGGATGGAGAAGGAGGGTGATGAAAGGACAGAATCAGACTTCAGAAGATGGGTAGTAAGAAACTACAATGAGCTAAAAGAACATGTTCTAACCCATCGCAAAGAAAATAGGAACCTTGAAAAAAGATTGGACGAACTGCTGACGAGAATGGACAGCATAGAGAGGAGAATAAGTGAATTGATGGAGCTGAAAAACGCAACACGAGAACTTCGTGAAGCATGCACAAGCTTCAACAGCCGAATTGACCAAGCAGAAGAAAGGATATCAGAGGTCGAAGACCAACTCAATGAAATAAAAAGAGAAGGCAAGAACAGAGAAAAAAGCGCAAAAAGGAATGAACAAAATCTTCAAGAAATGTGGGACTATGTGAAAAGACCTAATCTACGTCTGATAGGTGTACCTGAATGTGATGAAGAGAATGAATCCAAGCTGGAAAATACTCTTCAGGATATTATCCAGGAAAACTTCCCCAACCTAGCAAGGCAGACCAATATTCAAATCCAGGAAATACAGAGAACACCACAGAGATATTCCTCAAGAAGAGCAACCCCAAGGCACATAATCGTCAGATTCACCAGGGTTGAAATGAAAGAGAAAATGCTAAGGGCAGCCAGAGAGAAAGGTCGGGTTACCCACAAAGGGTAGCCCATTAGACTCACAGCAGATCTCTCAGCAGAAACCCTACAAGCCAGAAGAGAGTGGGGACCAATATTCAACATCCTTAAAGAAAAGAACTTTCAACCCAGAATCTCCTATCCAGCCAAACTCAGCTTCATAAGTGAAGGAAAAATAAAATCCTTTGTGAACAAGCAAGCACTCAGAGATTTCATCACCACCAAACCTGCTCTACAAGAACTCCTGAAAGAGGCTCTACACACATAAAGGAAAAACCAGTACCAGCCACTCCAAAAACACACCAAATGGTAAAAAAGCAGCAACACAATCAAGAATCTGCATCAACTAACCAACAAAACAGCCAGGTAGCATCAAAATGACAGCATCAAATTCACACATAACAATACTATCCCTAAATGTCAATGGACTAAATGCCCCAATCAAAAGACACAGACTGGCAAATTGGATAAAAAGCCAAAACCCATCAGTGTGCTGTATCCAGGAAACCCATCTTACATGCAAGGATACACAAAGGCTCAAAATAAAGGGATGGAGGAAGATCTACCAAGCAAATGGAGAGCAAAAAAAGGCAGGAGTTGCAATTCTCATCTCTGATAAAATAGACTTTAAAGCAACAAAGATCAAAAGAGACAAAGAAGGACATTACATAATGGTAAAAGGATCACTGCAACAAGAAGAGCTAACGATCCTAAATATATATGCAACCAATACAGGAGCACCCAGATACATAAGGCAAGTTCTTAATGACTTACAAAGAGACTTAGACTCCCACACAATAATAGTGGGAGACTTTAACACCCCATTGTCAATATTAGACAGATCAACCAGACAGAAAATCAACAAGGATATCCAGGACCTGAACACAGACCTGGAACGAGCAAACCTAATAGACATTTACAGAACTCTCCACCCCAAATCCACAGAATATACATTCTTCTCAGCACCACATCACACCTACTCTAAAATTGACCACATAATTGGCAATAAATCACTCCTCAGAAAATGCAAAAGAACAGAAATCATAACAAACAGTCTCTCAGACCACAGTGCAATCGAGTTAGAACTCAGAATGCAGAAACTAACTCAGAACCGCACAGCTTCATGGAAACTGAACAACTTGCTCTTGAATGTTGACTGGATAAA